GTCTGAACGGACGGGCCGACTCAAAACTATGGTCCTTTCTTTAAAAAGCCAACGCAAATCCTATACTGCACTCACATAGTTCTCTTTAAAATTGTACATGGATTTAAAAAAAAGATTATCTCTCTCTTCTCTGTGGTTTGTTTCGGCGTTTCTTCCCAGAGTGAATCTTCTAGCTGTAAAGTCCGACTTGTAAAAATATCTATAAAGATTTCCTTACACAAATAAATATCACTTATCATCATTTATCATTACTAGACGGACTATAAACTATATTGATAGCTTAGTTGGATTTTACGATATTGTGCATACCCAGTTTCCAAAGAGCAAAGCATTTTTCATCCTGGGTACAAAGAATCGGAGGTTTGGAAAAATTACTTGTACCTACTAGATAAACGCGGGCAAAAACTAGTTAATAATTTGTATGAACGGGAATAAATCCCACTGCTATTGAATAAAGAAGGTGATAGCAACTTAACATCATTTACTTTTAAAATAGTATTACGTACATCATGGTGAATTGTAACGAACTCTATTCTTTATTTTATCTTTAGGGGTAGCAACTATTTGTTCCCATTTGATTGTAACCAAACGGAAAGTGAGTTTGTTCGTTCGTTTGTTTGTTTGTTAGGCTTTCATGCCTAAACCACTAAATCGATTTTAAAAATTCTTTCAGCAATGGAAAGCTACATTATCAGTGAGTAACATATAACTACTTTTTATTGTATTAACTAACATGCACGCAGAAAATGAAAATAATTTTCCAAGAACAAAAGAACTAAAAAGAAATCAAGAAGAAATGTTTATAATGTAAGAAAAAAAATTGAGTGCTAATAAAGTACAAATACGATGGGTTAGCATCGAATTCAGACTTCATTAGCACTCAACATTATAGTAAAGCAAAGTAATCTCTTACACAAAGTAAACAATCCATTGAAATATTTTAATTCTGTGAGAAACGCAACAGAGGCAGCCCCAATGTCATTATTCTACGCTCTATAAAGCCACGGAAGAAATTAATTCTGAGAAAATTACGTTGAAATAAACTTGGAATAAGTTCCCCCAGGATATGTAGTTAAAACTTCAGTATCAAAGATTAAGTGGCTCGTATGCTGGAATGGTTCAATTTAAATATGACTTTTATGAACAGTATAAATTAACGACTTATCTGAAAATGTATTCTAACAACTTCAGGAATTGAGGTATTGTAATATAGATAGGGCTAAAACTTGGATGTCATGAGGTCTTACAAGAATTAACAATAATACAATAAACGGACATAACGTACAAATAGATTCGTGCAAACATTCAAACACATTATGTGCCAGACTCCACTATAATTTGGCACTTAATGCTAATCAATGCTAATCAAGAAAAGGGAACTAAATATATTATATTTACAAGAATCTATTATTAGTTATCTATTATTATTAGGTAGAATAAGAAATAAAACTAATTTGATAAACATGTAACTTCTGAGTCATAGTTTAAACCAGTTCAGAAGGTACGGATATATTCCTAAAAATAGCCTAAAATAAAAATGTGGAAGCAGCTTTAGTTGACACACGTTAGTTTTTAACATATAATGTACATGTATACAAACTCCTCATGTGTTCATTGTATTATATTTATTATTGTAATAAAATAATTTTGAAATAGAATTTGAAAATGCATAAAATTGCAACATCATCCGAGTAGTTACGGTCCGAAAACCAACGGTAATAAAGTTTATTCCTTGTACAAGTAAAGCTAACTATTTTAGACATTGGACTCGTTTTAACTCCCTTGAACATCGGTCAATCACTTTTCCCACAAAAGTTTCAACCCGATTATTTCGACATTTGGCACTTCACTACGGTGCTTTTTTTCAAGAAGCCAACCTGTGGAATGAATTGTCGCTTGCGATATTTTTAAACTGATACTACCTTAAAGGCTGGTAACGCATTTGTGTCATGAAAAATGAATAACTTAAAATTATTAAAATCTTAAACTGTAAAGGTTCAAAAACATATTCACTGGTGAGTTCTAGCAGCCGTTACGATAATTGTGTTCACAAAATTTTGTATTTAAAAAAATCAAAAGAAATTACTGTCCCTCACTCAGTTATATAAAAATCGGCATAAATACCATATCAAAATATAGCAACAATTTTCGGACAGTAGACTGAACCTCACTATAGGCTCCCCTACCTATGCTCTTATAAATTGTAGAGAGAGAGAGAGTAAAGAGTAAACTTCGCTCTAACAAAACCAAGCTTTCGTTTAAACCTACAAATGTATGTATAAGTTCAGATCCACTGCCTCAGGACAATTGATTAGTGCCGTGTTTTTGCATATGTAGATGAACAGAAACTGGAGAAAACTCATTCGTTTTCGTAAGAATACCGATCGAATGCGACTGACACCTTAAAAGATTAAGTATTGTCGTGAGAAATAAGCTTTCTTTAGACACATCTTGAGGCCTAAACACGCTTTAAACTTAGCTTCGGAGATAACCGTTTAAGAAAATGGCGAAAAGTGTCATGGAATATGTATTCCTATACTGTCATACCTCATGTCGGAAGGTCATCAACAAATTATTATGGACTAGCTGGTACCCGCGACTGCGTGGAATTTGAAAAGCGCTGCCTTGGTGGATTCGATTCCCGGACCGGGAAAATTTTTATAGGGTTTTCCTGAAAGGGAAAATAGCATGTTACTCCTTATATAGACAGTTACCTGGTAGTAAAATATTATCAAAATCGGTCAAGCTCTTTAGAAGATTGCCCAGAACAGACAGACAGACAAAAAAAACTGGTTTTTAAGCATAGGTATCGTGCAAGTAATAAAAAAAACTATTATTTTGACATTACAAACATACCCTTAAATTTTATTTATTTGTATAGAGTAGAGATTTGAATTTCAACATCTTTTAGTTAGCTCGGTCCTAGACTAAGAAACTTTCTTTTGGAACTTTAATACGAACAGAGCGAAGTACCTCCTCTTTAGAAAAGATTGTACTTAATCCTTAATGGGAGAGGCCTATGTCCAGCAGTGGACTGCGATAGGCTAATAATGATGATGTACTTAATCCGATGGAGCATAAAACAGTATAGAATTACAGTGTTCAGCCATGATGATTCTAACCATTAGGTAAACCATATACTAATTATAAAGTTTAATAATTATACGTCTACTTCTTTGGTTTCGAAGCCATTCCTGAACTTCACAGATGGTTGCATAAGGTCTGGTAACTGGTCTTATTTGAACCAACTCCTTGATATCATACCAAAGAAAGTATTTTTTTCTTTGTCATCCGTTAAATCATCAGGACTTTAAAAATAAGTTACGGAATAATAATAAAGGAATTTGTAATAAACGCTACTGGGCTACTACATTGTACCCACTGTCTTGACATTAAATCATAAGAGGATAAAAGCTAAATTATAACCTACAGATCAACAATAAAATGAAAGCATTTCATATGAAGTTGATTGTTACGCAGGACACCAGCACTGCGCAAAGAAGGAAAACTTGACACAAACCCTTTTTTTTTTTTTTTTTTTTTTTAACGTGTGGAAATCCCCTCGGACCGTCACCCCTCCGGGGTTTGCGGCGGGGTGGTGTGTCGGACTCGGACCGACTAAAACCACACGGTGTGCCACTCTGCGCCTGTAACAGGAGGGATCCGGGAACAGCTGTTGTTAAGACATCCGGACCCCTCCTAGCGCCAGCCCGCTCCTGGTGCAGGCTCCGTCTCAGTGTTGTTCCTCTCTATAGGCGACGTCCGGCACACGCGGACGCCGCCCCCTCGCGGCTGGCCAACTAATGCGGGTGGAGGGGAAACCCACCCCGTCCACCCGCGGCCACACTCAGGGCGGCATGAGGCTGTGATAGCCGGGCCTCCGCCGCCCGGTTCGCCGGCGGCGGATCGGGTCCGAGTGGAGGTCGTCCTCCCGGGCCCTCTCCGCCGCCTCCTTCCGCGAGATTACTACCTCGCAGAAGGTTGCGACCGCGGTAAAACAACTGTCGCTACCGGCCACGGACCAACCCGTCTGGCCAGCGTGGTATAGTAGGCCAAAACCTCCTTTCTAAGGAGAGGCCTATGTCCAGTAATGGACTATTAAAGGTTGTTGATGTATGTGTGTGTGATTGCATTAGTTTCCCGACAGAGTTAAGTGACTTATCGATGAAATCTAGAAAGGCATCGATTCTGGAAGTACCATATAGGCCCTGATGTACAAATAAATTATACATGCTGAGAGGGTCTTCTACCCCCTTATGTCTTCCAAGAAAAAGTAGGGAACTTAGAGGCTTTAGAACTTAGGGAGGCTTTTGACTCCGGCTTCTGATTCCAAATTCAAGTTTAGCACATAGTTGTTTACGAGACCTCTAAAGCTAATTCTTGCTTTAATATTAAGGTGGGTTGCGACGGGCCTCGGTCTGTTACAGTTAATCGGCTCCGGTCTAAGTGGATTGAGCACCATGAACGTCTTTTACGCACATGTTCATTATTTATCTGACGTAAACTGTTTAGTGTGGACTGCTACTTTGGGCTTAATACGTTTCATAGCAGCTGGATCTCGGTGTTATAAATAGTTTTATTTTATTAACTGAGCTATTAAATTATTAATTAATAAAATATAAATAATAGTAAAAATAACCACAAATAAAATAAAAAGTAAATATCTCAAATGGGCTTGTGATTCCTGAGATGCACGCGTTGATGAGCGGCAGTAATCGGTTACTATCAGGTGACCCTTCTGATCGTTTGCCATATCATAAAAAATACCTAGAATAAAAGATAAATTCTTTTAATCTAGGTATTTTTAATTTACGTTTTAGGATATCGCGAAATATTACTCGTTTCTTCATAATTCTGGTGACATAATATTTTACGGTATGCGCTTTGAAGTATTATCTAAATCGACACGTACGTTAGAATCAATTTGAATCTTTTTTTTTTGTGAAGTGTAAAAATAAACAATTAAAACGTAAAATAGGATTAGAATCAGAAATTCTGATATGAGAATATTGTTTTCAAAAAATACAGCGAAGAAAATCTTTTGTCCAACAGTAATTCAAAGTACGTAAAACGATCTTTAAATAAATTATTAAGTAAAAGTCACTTTTCCTGAGGCAAGCACTCAGTAAAATAAATAATAAAAATGTTTTTGGTGAAGAGTGTCATTTTTAAACCGGTATACGAGTACATATATACAAGAAGAACCCTTAACAATAGATCTAGTTATTTAATTAAATGAAAATCTTCATTTAATTTACGATTTAATCAAGTAACCAAACAACTAAGACGAGGTTTGTTATTTACTAAGTCAATTAGACCTAAATCGACAAACTCTGTTTCCAGAGACGAAGTATCTCAGTGTTACTCTATCATATTTCAATTCCAATACTATCACTAATAAGCGTACATGGAAATGATGAAATTCCTCCGCTTCGCGCCTTGAATTTGTAATTACACGTCACGTACGCCTTACATAATAGAATTTTGTGTTTGTATTCCTATGCAAAACATGTCAAATTAATTATGGAGTCGATACGATTGAAGTAGTCTAATGTTTAGTGAAGGTCAAAGATATTTTGAGTGCAATTTTTTTTTTATTGTGATAGTGAGACCTCAACAGGTGATTTTTTAAGTATCCGATTCGAATCCTTACACGGGTTAGGCGGGTTATAAGATTCGTAGTAGTCGTAGAACTATTTATATGGTAGTTTACACACTTGAACGCCTTCCGTCAACCGATTTATTTCTATTGTCCGTTAATCTCTATTCCGAAGAAGATTATTTTCGAACCAAAGTAGCCAAAGTATACTAATAATTATATGTACGCCTCGAGATTTCTTATCTTCTTCTGTGTCGTTCGTACCTACAATAACATTGCCAGAATTTGACGCTAATTGAAAGGACGCATGATCAACTACGTGAATGCTCTGTTGTGGCTTCAAGTCAAATGAGGTATACTAAAAGGTGACCCCTGAAGTGATTGGATTAGAAACAGTGATCGCATGCCTAAACAATATACGAACTCAGTCAGTTAACCTGCCAATCCTCCAAATAATCACGGATCAGAAATAGGAGGGAATGCGAAAAGCAATATCCGAATTCAACCCAAGATTTCTAAATCAATATTTTCACGGGTTTGGATCGGATTTGGATCGTACGTAGTGCGAAATCGGTCTAAGAATATCTTCCTCGTCCAGTCTCTATCATTATTTGATTGGTTTGTTGGATAAGAGATCTTGACTAAACCAACTGTCGTGTGTTTCATTTTTGTTTGGTTTGACAAATAATAGTGTGATAAGCACTATCATTTATTCTTTGTCTAGATTTAAATTATCTATAAGCATAAGTTCATCAGGTAGTTACAGTAATATAAGTTTCTTATACTTAATTTTGGTTCAGGCTACCGTGTGTAGTGTCTGAAGCTAAAAAATAACAATAGAGATAGTTAACACTAATGCAAAATACAGTCAACTGGTTTTACATCTGTGCACAATTCTATTTATTACATTAATATATGCGTTCGAAAACGTGTCTAGTAATAAATTGGTTAACATTTCCACGTTTTGTTCCATGCTGTATTTCGTATGTTCTCTCGTGCCTAACTACAGTGTATTTTTATCTAACATTATATACATTGTTACAGCTGAATGTGCTCCAACTCTTGCACCATGGAAGCCACTAAGTGAAGTGACAACCAGTGAAACAATCCAACACCAACATTCTAATGATGTGGACACACACGCCATATACGATATCAACGATATTGTCCATTTTGAAGACAACGATCTCGTAATGCGAGACGCTAAGAGAATCAAGTTTCAAGACAACAATAACTTAGACAATTCAGTTGAGCCTTTCAAAACTTATACATTTGAGGATGTAAGAAGAGCACTTCAGAATGATACGAAATTTTCTAACTTCGGCAATGAATTAACAGAAGAAGTGAAGAAGGAAGATTCGTGTGAATGTCAACATGGAGGCGGATGTGTGGCCAATGTTTGTCTCTGTCCGCTTGGATACGCAGGAGTAAAGTGCGAGATTACTTTGGATTTGAAGGTGAGAATGGGTGATAGTCAAGAAAATACTCTTTAAAAAAAATAAGTCAGTTACAGGTTGAACTTTTTTTTATAAATTGAAATGAGACCAACATTGAGTACAAACGGTTCACTTTAAAAAATGCAAATCTTCATAATTAAATTAATAAACATAAATTATAAAAAACATACTTTGTACTAAGTGAACTTGGCTCATTAAGATTCAAAATAATAATAAATATTTATAAACTTTAAAAAAATATTATTTAACAATAGACTTTTTTCTAATGCATGATCTTAAAACGTTATTACAGATATAAGATACCTTATAATACTATTATTTAAACAATAAAAAATAATTGCATTTCTTCAGCAAAGAAGTTTAGACCTGCCATTACAAGTTTCAATATATCTTGATCGTAACTAACAGAACCAAGAACTTTTTATTTTATTTCTACTACTTCTTCATTTCTTTCATAAATCAAATGAGCCGGGGAGAAATGTTTTTGTCTCTTTACGAGTTTGCTTCAGAAATGTTTCCAACTCAGTTTGCAGTTCTTTGAATATTCAGTTTGAAGTGTTATGTTCGTAGCCGTTTTTGTTTAAGACTTTCGTCAGGAGTTTTTCTCGAGTTACTGTTCTGCTGAATTATAGTGTGTTTTTACTATTTTTTAGACTTACCCTGATTGTGTCCTTGTTTTTATTTTTCAATATCCCTTTATTGACGGCAGGCGGTTCTGCTGGCATATTCAAGTAGTAGAATACATGTTATATCTTTTACCAGAGCTCAGACTACTCTAGTTACCAGGAGAAATATCTTATTAGCTGTTTTCCGAGTCAATCGGTTCCACTTAACTAAATCCCTAACTTGGTACATATAAGTTGTATATATTCCCTTATGTGAAACTCAACTTGTTTTAGGTACGAAGATTCAGCGTAATTGTTCTGACACATATGTGTGTTATATACCTAACGGAACCCAATGTTTAAAGTTGTTTATTAAAGAGAAAGTGCACTTATAATGTTTACATAGAACTCTCGTTGTATTCCTAAAAGTTGGCATTAAAAAGCATAGCTTATGTTGCTTTTTAATGCCAACTTTTCGCTCAATAACTAGCAACCCTTTTTTTGTATTAGAGAAGGGCCAGATATCTTTGTCCATAAAAAAAGGGTCAGATAGTCTATTTTAGTGCGATAGCTTTTGTGAATATTCCTCTTTAAATATATTTTTCTATCGTAAATAATATTTTTCCAGGTACCTAGGTTTAACGGATCATCGTATCTGCGCTTACCTGGGCTCGGCGGCGCAGCTGAGTCATGGCTGGATATACAGGTTAGAATGACATTCTAGTTATGTTGGTACCGGCTGAGAATAAGTATGTTTGTATGAAAAATTCCAGTTTAAAAACAAATGAGATAGTTAACTTTTTTTTTTATCACTACTTACATAGACAGCTTGTTGCCGTGATACGCTCCTTAAAAATTGTATATCAACTACAAACCCCTTAAAGCTACATTATTATGTTAGTACTTCTACATAGTGCATAAGTTCTGTGCACAAGCACCAACCCAAAAGCTAAACATATGAATCGACTGCACCGCGTGAATAGACCTTACTGATAGTAGTAAATCGCTGCATTTTCTCAAAAAAAACTTGACCGATTTTTACGGTTAAGTAAATAAGGATAGCTAACGTGAGACATTTAATTGTTTACTGCTAGCTTAGATGATATTTTGAGGGTATCTGTTTTTGCTGTTACGAGTATGTATTATAAAATTGAATTAATTAACTATTGCTACAAAATTCAGTTGGTCTTCACTATTTGACGTCAAAGTATGTTTTTGCTACCTTCTAAGCCACTGATGACAGAAAAAAGAAACATAGAGAAAACAGTAAAACAAATTACAGGATAATCTATAAGAAAACTATGGTGTTAAAATGACATAGTACATCTATGAATATTGTACGTACAGACATGTTTTTAATACAATTGTAATCGAGAAGCCGACAATCGATCTAAGTGGCGTGCAATGGGAGAGGCCTATGTCCAGCAGTGGACTGCGATAGTCTGATGATTATGATGAGACATGTTTTTGTAATTAATCGTACGGAAGCTTCAACATGACAAGTTTAGCGTTTTTTATTTATAAAATTACTATTTCATTTATCGTATAAAATCTTATTATTATTTATTGTATAAACTTACTAGTATTGAGTATGTTTTTAAAATTTGACAATAAAATCTTTTGAAAAGATAACTTTTCCAAACCTATATTTTTTGTACTAAAATGTAATGAAACAAAATTTAAAGACGTAATTTGAAAGTGTCAATAGGGTTTTTTCTATGAATGACAAATCCTATAAAACATATATATTATAATTTACTACTCTCGAATAGTACAAGTACCCGCTGATCATAAAAATAAAGCCGTTTTCGTTCTTACACGCTGTATACGACACTTTTACGACACATTACATTCCGACCACATTTCGAACACATGTTCGAACGCGGTTGTCACAATGCGAGATAATTTGCCAATATATGTATAGAATTGTCATTATTACCAACTCAAATATATTTTTGTCATATAATGTTGTGATAGTTGTTTGTTTTATCAACGTGTTGGTCTAGGGGTTATCCAACCCTTCCGGGGAGCAGAGGGAACATGGGGTTCCCACACGGGGGGGGTCGTCTACTCGTCTGTAGATGGCCCGAGGTATGTCGGGGCACCAGGGACTTCCTTTCTAGGGTATACCTGGTTCTTCAGCTATTAGTACCCGAGACGGCGTGCGGTTTTAGTCGGTTCGAGGCCGATATGCCACCTATCCTATAGGTGGTATCCGAGGGGATTTCCGCACGGAAAACAAAAGGGGTTATCCAACCCTGACTGCTGAGCCAGAGGTCGTGAGTTTAATTCCCACCCAGGACAAATATTATGTGATGAGCACTGTCTTGTTTGTTCTGTCTGGATGTAATTTATCTGAAATATGTATGTATTATAGCCAACCTAGACGCATAAAGGATCATTCTCGAATCTAAATGCGGAAATCGGGGCCTACAAACAATACCAATGTATGTATTAACGATGTAAAAGTGTAAAAGCGGTGTTTTAGGCTCCGGGAACCTCACTCAGTGAAAAGTAACATAAGAATTACGACACGACCTCCAAACCTTCAAGAAAAGAGCGTACTCCTTCCTCAAAGGCCGGCAACGCGCTTGTGACTCCTGAGCTGCAGGCGTTCATGGGTGACGGTAGTCGCTTTCGCGGTTTTCTCAGGCCCAAGTGCGAGTTTATTTCACGTCGTTCGGCGCTGCGATTGGCCTGTACTGAAATCTAAATCAATCGTAATGCTGAACGCGCTCGCTGTCAAGCGTGAGTTGATATGAAATAAACTCGCATTTGGCCCTCTGTTAGGCCGTGGTATCACTCCGGTGGAGTCAAGTAATGCTTGCCGAAACATGGCTCTACTACGGTTACATGGAGTAGTCCTTGAAACCACATATATAATATATTAGGAAGAAGTATTTAGACATAAGCTAGAGACTCTTGACTAGTCACAAAGAACCGTCTAATTTTGGACCGTGGGGTTGAACCCGCTAACCACGGTCAACACTTAGCTGTATTTCAATAGAAAGAAACATAATTTTAGGGTTTCAGTCCCTTTTTGATAGACTCTTCAGCTGATTGCTATAAATAAGGTGATTAAGAAAGAACTCCCACAATTCTGAACAAACTTCTAACGCGCTTTTGAAAAGCTTTTAACGGAGGCGAAAGAACAAAATATAATTTAAAACAGCACACGAAGGTCTCTTTAAAAGTTATACCATAAATTAATAAAAATCTCAGGTAGTTGGTCCAGTAAATATATACAGTGAAACTGTTGTTGAAATATGGCTGTCTTATTAAGAATAATTAATACAAGGTTATTGATATGTCTAAATAGACTGTCAGTACGGTGAAAGCGTGGAATAAAATAGTGTCCAACCGGCTTGGCCGGCTTGGCACTACTTGGTTTCTTCCCACCGTCGCTGTCACTACAATGTCAATTTTATATTACCTTACAGTGAATTTCAATTTTCAATTCAATTCAATGTAGAATTATAGATCAGATTTGAAAAAATATAATTTTAAGATTTATTGATAATAAATTATATAGACTGAAATATTTGGTCGGTTCTGCCTTCGCAGTCACTAAATTCTATTTTAATCAAAGTCCTGAAATATCTTACAGTGTTAAATGTTTGGGCCGTCTCAAATAAGTTAACTAACCGACAATCCTTGACAAATAGCGTGCCGATCGGCCTTAAGTTATAGCGCGGAACCCACTTCAAAGTTTACTTCATATCCTCAACTTGTTTATAGATAGAATAGTTGGCTGAGTCTTGCGAAATGTATGTACTTTAGAACGGAACTAGAACTATCTCTATACACAATTTCATTTAAATCGGTTCAGCAGTTTACGCGTGAAGAGGTAACAGACAAATAGACAGACACATAGACAGACTTACACATTTATAATATTAGTCTTCTTCTTAGTCTTCTTAGTCCTTATTAGTATGGATACAAGAATAGTCGAATTTTCTTTTTATACCTACATAATATTTTGAAGTCATCCCAAGGCCTCTCAGAAGACCGGTGTTAAGTATTTATTTCCTTGCTTTTTAACGAGTAACCTCATTACCTAAGTTCCTAGTGTGAGTTTATATTACAGTGACTCGATCGTCAACTGAAGAGTTCAGCAGTGCTATTCTCTAAGGAAACAGCCCTGCGTACAGCGCTGCCACTGCTTTGAACTTCAAACTAAGTTCGTTTGAAGTTTTGACGTGTGTGTGCACTAAGAAAGGATTTTTTTAAATTCCACCCCTAAGGATGCAAAATGGGGTTTGTAAATTTCTATAAAACTTCGTTAGTAGCGTTTTCAAACTCACAGTAAATACTCTTTATTAAAAGTAGTAAAAAACGTTGTTACTAATTTTTCAAAACTACCCTAAAAAATAATTGTATGGGCAACTAATTTTATCTACTTATCGATTCCAAACTCTCATTATAATTGTAAATACCTCATTGGTGCAGTGGTAGCATATGCGACTGCTGTTCTGAGGTCTCGGGTTCGACTCCCGGGTCTTACCAAATGTTTCTATGATCTGCAAATATTTGTTTCGGAGTTTGGGTGTTTTCTGATGAAATATTTCGGTATAAATAATATGTATGTACTTATATAAAAAAATAAGCATTCCATCAGTCAATCTAATTTTCATAGTACAAGCTCTGCTTAGTCTGAAACTAGATGGCGTTGTGTGTCAGATGTCCTAAATATTATTATTTATTATTAAATTACTACGATGTCTGATATGTCGACCACCATGCGAACGAAGTCGCGGGCAAAGCTGGTATGTTCATAATATTAAAAAAAAAACCTTATTTAAGGTAGTCATTAGGGACCTGTGGTGTTCGTACTCTATTAAACTATAAAGTGTTGCCAGCTATAAAAATGATGTCATACAAACGTTTTAATGTTTGTGAACATAAGCCGCGCCCTTCGCAAACCATTTTATATAAATATACTTACGTGGTCACGCATCAAACAGAACGCTGACATTAATAGGACAGCCTTGTTTTCTACACAGTTTTTATTTGTACGAACCAAATGGGCAGAACTTTTACAAATAGAATAATCTAGTACAAATTGGTTGAAGACGTATTAGACAAAGCGTTTTAAATAAATAAGATACTCGCACGTATACTCAAGCGCGAATACACACACACTATACTCACACACATACACACACGCACACACATACACACATACGCAAACACACATGGATGTACGAATATCTCACCCACTAATAAAATCAACAGACATACCAACACTGGGTCCCACACGGGGTCCCGCACTGTAACTCCCTATTATAGGCTGCTCAGTAGGTTATTTAGGAGTGCAGTAATCAACCCAAGATTTAGTTAACATTGATAAAATTGTCATCCATTGTACTGAATACATGTATACTCATTTTGTTTAATAAATTATTATCATTATCATCAGCCTATTGAAACAGAAACTGACAGACTGAATCACTGACTGATCGATCAACGCACAGCTAGAAGTATGAAATGTTGCACAAATGTTCGTTAGGTGCTGTAGGTGCCTAAGGGTGCTAAATGGAGGTTGAAAATTTATATGAAACTTCTTTATTTTTGGTGTGTGTTTGAACTCACACCAAATACTCTTTTATAAAAGGAATGAAAAACGTTGTTGCTAAATGTTCAAAACGACCCCTAAAAAGAGGTTCAAGTTTGTATGGTACGTATACCTATAATTTTGATTTATTG